TATAAAATGTATCAAAACAATTTACAATGGAGTTGAGAAAATAAGGAAGTCAGGAAAGCACTACAAGAATAATCAAATAAGATAGATACAGCATTGGAAATAATTCAAAACTTACAGAAAGAGGTCCAAATGATTAAAAATAGAACATCAGAAATGGGCAATACACTGAAAGGGCAAAGGATTAGAATTGAAGAGGTAGAAGCCAGAACTAGTGTTCTGGAAGACAGCTTTCTTAATACTACTAATACTACTACTAAGATAGAAGAACAAGCAGAAAAAAGGATGAAAAACAATCTGAAGGTCTAAGATTCATGTTGGACAACATAAAGAGGAATAACTTAAGAATTTTTGGCATTCTGGAACAGGAAGAATCACACAAGTCCACAGAAGAGATAGTTGAAGATCTGCTGGATGAAAACTTCCCTAACATCCTGTAAAATGAAAAGACAAGCATTCAAGAAGCTCAACAAACCCCAGGAAGGATAGACCTTAAAAGAAAATCACCAAGACATATAATAATCAAGTTTTCCAAAATCAAAGATTAAGGACAAAATCCTGAAAGCATCTAGAGAAAAGAGAAGATTAAGCTCAGAAAGAAAAAAAAACTGCCAACCAAGAATCCTCTATCCAGCAAAACTGTCATTCAAATATTTAGGTGTAATCAAAACATTCCAAGATAAACAGAAGCAAAGTTTTGCCAAAGCCAACCCTGCAATGACAAACATCCTAAAGGGAGTTCTGTGGACTGAGAACCAACAAGAAAAGACAACACCCAGAGACTGACGTACGTGGCAGCATCATCCAGACTCAATTGACAGATGCAAGGGTCGAGAACAGAACAAAAACTATAAGAACAAATTCAGAGGATCTGGGAGGTCAGTCTATGATCAAAACAATTAAAATGTGAAAGAAGGTAAACACAGAGGAAGAGATCCAGGTGGTGAGACGGTCAGGTAGATTACAGATAAAACAGACTGTCTTAAATGGAGGGAAAAGTTAATGGACTATAAGGTAACCACAACTGTGGGGTTGGAGTGGGGGGTTTAGGGGGTAGTGGAGAGAGGTGACGGGTAGAGCACTGGGTAAGGGCAGACACATCATAGTTCTGGTGTTGGGGAGGAGGTGGAAGAACAAGGTACATAGGCAACACTGAGGCAGGTTTGCATGGGCTAAGTGGGACAGAGGTAAATAATGATTCATGTTCAAACTTGGAAAAACAGGGCTCTGTAATACAGGGATCTAGGCATAGTTTAAAGAGGGGAAATAATACTAAGATGTTTGACTGTCTTATGAATATTGGTTTCCCTTGCCTACTACTGTAAAATAGACACTTGAGTGGATAGAAAGGAGTGTTGGGAAACATGATTACAGAAAACTTGTAAGGCCACCTTCAGCCTGTAACTGATTGGAATACCTAAAAGGGGTTCTAGAACTTGCCCAGTGAAATAGGTCTCTTGCAGAGTCTTTTCAGAGTATAGGACTTTAGGTGGAATCCTGAGTACCATCCAGAAACTTCTGAGGTGGGACATTTCCCACTAGAAAGGGCAAGCAGACCAGCCTGGAACAGCTAGAGTGACAGAAGATACAGCTTCAAAGAAAGATCATCAGGAAAAACCCAAAACAAAAATGTCAGTATGACTGGCTACTACAAGAAGAAGCAAGCTGTTCACCGGAAAGCCATCAAGGCAAACAATCCCATTCCTTCAGGACAAAACCCCCTTTATGACTGAATCTCAAAGGGAACATATGAGCAGGCATGTAAACTTGCGGGTGACCACATTGGCCTACTGGTGAGTGGAAGAGAGGGAAAGGCAGCAATAAAGAAATGGGCTGAGTTCAACCATGGTCCATTGACTACTGTTGACCTGGAGATGAGAGAGAGAAGAGGAAGGGCTGGTTGGTCCAAAGTGTGGTGAGACCTGGGGACACCTGAGCCCATGGATAAGGACATAGCCACAAAAGGCTAGAGTTGAGAGTGAAGCTTCTAGCTGATACGAAGTGAGGGGAGATGCACAAGAACACCCAAACTTGCAGAAAGTACCCATTTGACCTAGCCTTGATGACTTGATAATCAGAACTCAACTAGAGGAAGATATAAAAAACTAACAATTTTTCATAACGGAAACAAGGGTAAATTGCTACAATTTGATGAACCTGACCTGTAATAATGGAGGTGGTGGTGGTGGTGGTGTGCTGTGGAGTCTGTTCCAACTCATAGCGACCCTATATAGGGTTTCCGAGGCTGTAAATCTTTATGGAAGCAGAAAGCCTCATCTTTCTCCTGTGGAGCAAGCTGGTAGCTTCAAACAGCTGACCTTGAGGTTAATAGCCTGATTCGTAACCACTACGCTACCAGAGCTCCTTATACTAATGGAGGTAGTATAGTAACTCTAAATACCAACAGAGAGGGAAGAAGTCTTCACATCAAGTATCAATGCTACCCCCTCTGTACACAGGGTAGATACAGACAACTTAGACATTGGCTACCTAAAATGAGGGGACAACAAAGGCGCACAAAGCTAAAGTGAATAGAGAGAAATGCCGTTAACTGATGGTACATGGAGGGGATTGTAATCATTGTGATGAAACAAGTTGTATGATTTGTTGAATGTAAAATTGATGATCTGTCCTGTAAACTTTCACTCAATCCATAATAAAAAAATTAAGGAAAAATATTTTAAATCTACACAAGAACTGAAAAATCCATATTAGTACAAACATGCAAGCATTACCATAGATGGAAAAATTTTGTTCAAATCAAGTTTGATACTCAGAATCAAGAACTTACTTCTCCCTTTATATTTTAGCCATGGTCGAGAAAGGCCCTCTGCTCGCTTGAGCATTCGCCGGGATCGACCATTATCTGTCCACTTGAACCTGGGCCAGAAAGGGTAACTGCCACATTTTCCTTCACACAATTTGTTGAAAAAGGAGTTGATTGTCTTGTATGAGATTTACTAACGGTCTTTTTTTCTTTTGTCTTCCCTTCACAGTAACCGGAAAACATCTTGGTGAGAGAGAACTCATTAATTGCTCTATTGTGTGCTTTTGAGATTCAACTTGGATGGTTATGGCATATTCCCATGTCTCCAGTAACTTTCTCTTCTTTTTGTTATATTTTTAATCATAGCCCAATAAAAATAAATCAGTTTGAAGGGCACTTTATGAAGTTACAGGCTGACTCCAATTACCTTCTATCCAAGGAATATGAGGTATGATTCAGCTACAGCAAAATTTTAACAAACCTTTAACACCCCTTAGCATAATTTCCCTCCTAACTTTTACTGACTGGGCTCAAGAGTTAGGGTGATACTTAGGTTCTCCATTGAATGCTCTCTTATGCCAGAATCTATTCCCTGAACAACATATCACCTAGTCTACTAGAGTACAATTTGAACTCCGGAGTAACTCAGCAAAGTGCTACCTGGGGTGACATGGAAAGAAAGAACAGCTGTTAACTCTTCAGCCTAACCATTTGCTCAAGTATGAGGAAATATGGTGTGGTGAACAGTACCTAGATTTTTAACTTGATCCCCAACTTTGCTATCAATGGGACCTGGGACAAATTAGTGTGACCCTCGACCTCTTTATTTGTAACATAGAAGTAATCCCTCACTTTGTGGCTATTGTGACTATCAAAACAAATGCTAAGGAGCTAGCAATCTGCTGAAAATTATAGCTGACATCACGAGTGTTGGCTCATACCTACTGTCCACATTTAAAAAGGGCCCAGAAAGAACCAAATGTTGCTTCAGTGCCATACCCTCTTCTCTTAAGGAATTGCTTTGATTTGGCACATGGTCCTGTAGAGATTACAGTCTTGGAAATTCTACTGGGTAATACAGGATCACTAGGAGTTGGAATCGACTCAACAAGAGCATGTTAATGTTTTTATATTCTTCTACTTGCAAACTTGTTTTTTTATTTAATAGGACTTAAAGGATGTGGGTCGAAACCAGTCATGTGACATTGCACTCTTGCCAGAGAATAGAGGAAAAAATCGATATAACAATATTTTGCCCTGTAAGTTTTGTGTTGAAATTTGTACTATTGTCTTCCACTAGTCATTTCTTCCCTAGTCCAGTGATAAAATAAAGTTAGTGATAAAATGAAGCTAAAGAAATATGGTAGAGCTGGATCCAGAAGGTGTCATGCTCTGAAAGCCTTTAAAAAGGATTCATTGGTACTTTATTGCACTCCCTCCACAAGCGTAACAACCATCTTAAATTCTAGTTATGAGAAGAAACATCTTATACTATTGACATTTCACCATGTTGTCCTGTGCTTCTCCTTGGAGGCCTAATCACAGTAATGTAGTTAAAGAAAAGGCTCCAGTATCCAATAGACATGGGTTTGCTTAACAAAATCTATAGTCTACAATTATTCTTTTAATATTATCTTCAGTGTGTTGGGTAAAGCAGTAGATGATACTTTTCTTGGGCAGTTTACACTCTAGAAGTGAAAGGGAGCTGGCTGCTATATCAGACAAATTCCATAGCATTGTATAGGGAAGCACAGAGGGGGCTTGAAAGAGCATTTGGCATTTGTTTCTTGGTTGGCAAACCCCGCCTCCAGGGTTCAGGAGAACCACCCACAAGAGTCAGTGACAAATCTTTCTTCAATAAACTTTCTTCCAGATGATGCCTCACGGGTGAAGTTGTCTAATGTTGATGATGACCCTTGCTCTGACTACATCAATGCCAGCTACATTCCTGTAAGTGAACCACTGAGCCACTCTAGCTGGGGGGTGAAGCTTTGATGGTGAAGCATTTCTAGAAATGCCTCTCCACCTGCATGTTCCCACGTCTCACTCAAAGATCATGTGTGTTGCCTTCAAACCAGCAATGCTTGATCACCATAAGATAAGGGTGTCCAATTAAATCACTGCTAAGCCCATTTTTCAGCTTAGATGTAGTTACACAACATCATAAAGAGCCCAGGATGCATTTCCAAAGGTCATTTTTTTTTTTCTCTGTAACCTTTAACCAAGATTAGAGCTCTTCCTCCAGCTACTCCTCGGAAACCCTATACAGGGTTATTATGGGTCAGAACCAACGCTACAACATTTAACAACAAAGAAAGCTGGATGAGGCATTAGTGGGTCCACACAGAGATCTCATTTTCCATTTGGGAAACATGGCTTTGAGTTCCAACCAGTGCACCTCATGTTTAACCAGTCTGTCAGTGGAGGTTTGTGGGTGCCATAATGTTTAACGGGTCTCAGCAGAGCTTCCAGATCTAAGATGGACTAGGAAAAAAAGCCTGATGATCTTCTACAAATGACAGCCACCAAAACCCTATGCATTACAATAGAACAGTGCCCAATCTACAGCCAATACTTTAGCTGTGCATGGAATCCTCAGGGGTCATCTGCAGCTAACAGCAACAAAATTAGATTTTTAATGTCTTACTAAGGCTGCCTAGCTAGGGAAGTCAGTCCCATTTTATCTGGGGTTTTATAAACTGTAAGTACAACTCAAAGGTTGAGTCGCACCTCTGGGCTCTGATTCTGACTAGCATCTAGGCAACTTCCTGTAGTTCTGACTAGCATCTAGGCAACTTCCTGTAGTTCATTATAGTGAAAAAACTTTGTTGTTGCTGCTGTTAAGTGTCGTCAAGTCGGTACCTACTCAAAGCAACTCTGTACAGGATTTCTGAGGAGCAGCTGGTGAGCCTGAACCACTGACCTTGCAGTTCAAAGCAACCTTCCAGTCCAGTGCATTAACCCACAGCACCACACCAGGACTTTGTTATGTGCCATGGAGTCGGTTCCGACTCCTAGCCACCCTGTACAGGGTTTCTGAGGCTGTAAATCTTTACAGGAGCAGAAAGCCTCATCTTTCTCCCACGAAACAGCTGGTAGTTTCGAACTGTTGACCTTGTGGTTCACAGCCCAATTTGTAACCACTACGCTACCAGAGCTCCTTCACCAAGACTTTAGGTTCAAACAAATCCAAGTTTGAATTCCATCTATGTCCGTTCCAAAAACTGAGGTCAATAATATTTATTTCAATCATCCATTCACTCGATAAACAGTGTATATGAATTACTAATAGGGACTCCTGATGTGGCACTATAGGATCAGAACTGAACCGCAACCAACAACGTCAGCAGTTCAAACCCCCCAGCTGCTCCTTGAAAACACTTTACAGGGGTGTTAAGAGTGGAACCGACTCTACAACACTTAACACCACCACCACGAGAGACAAGATAGAATAGTGCTTCTCCAACATTCACATTCATTATCTGGGGATGTTGTTAACCAGCAGATTTTAAATCAGGAGGGCTAAGGAGTCTGCATTTCTAACAACTTCCCAGATGATTCCTGTATTGCTGGTCTGAGGACAGCACTCTTGAGTATCAAGAGGTGAGAGGTTGCCATGGAAGCATCTGGGAGGAGAATATCACCATTCAGAATACAAAGGAAGGCTCCAGAGAGCAGGCACCAGTCTGAGACTTGGAGGATAAATAGGGATTAGCCAAATGAGAAGCAGCATTAGGGTGGGTGGCATGTCGGGGGTGGCAGAGGTGACATAATTGCAGAGGCCCTGAGAATGGCTTTGACTAGAATTTACAAGTAATTCTGTATTGCTGCAGTACAGAGTGAGTGGGTGACAGTAGCTCCCACTCACTTGTTAGGATTAAATAAATAAAATCTATAAAAGCCCCTGGTCCTCTCCATATTGTTGTTATTGGCTACCATCAAGTTAAGGAGCTCTGGTAGCATAGTGGTTACGAATCGAGCTGCTAACCTCAAGGTCAGTAGTTTGAAACTACCAGTCATTCCATGGGAGAAAGATGAGGCTTTCTGCTCCCATAAAGAATCTCTATGAGTTGGAACCAACTCCACGTCACATAACAACAACAACGACCAAGTTAGCCCCAAGTCATGACAACCATATATGCACAATGGGATTCTGCACCATTCCAGTGATCAATCTGTTGGGGATCTGATGTTGGAATGCTTTGGTTCTCGCTATCTTGATTTTTTAGGAAGTAAAGCACCAGACCTTTCTTCCTAGTCTGTCTTAGGCTGGAAGCTACACTGGAAGTTGTTTAGTATCATAGCAACATGAAAGCCTCTGTGAGGGTCATTGGCTGGGAGTTGAACATGGGTCTCCTGTATAGAAAGCAAGAATTCTACCACTGACCCATCAGTGTCCCCTGGTCTAGGATAGATGCTCAATGAACTGGTTTCTCTACCCTTAAATTTCCTATGTTAAACATTACTCTAATGTCAATCAATTACTCTAATGTCAATCATGGAGTCCTGGTGTGGCACCATAGGATAAGCATTCAACCTCAAGGTCAGTTTGAACCGCAAAGTCAATGGTTCAAACTCATCACCTACCCCCTTGGGAACCCTCTACAGGGTCATTATGAATGAGAATCGAGTTGATGGCACTTAACGTCAGTCGTAGGAGTCCTGGTGTAACACTGTGGGATAAAGCACTGGACCGCAAGGTTGATTTGAACCACACGGTCAGTGCTTCAAACTTACCAGTTGCTCTTTGGAAACCCTATACAGGGTTGCTGAGTCAGAACCAACTTGACAGCACTCAACAACAAATGTTGATCCAAAATTATTAAAATTCTTCTACATTAAATAGGGAGAGAGCTTGCTTAAAGTCATTTCCTCTGTGCACACACACACACACAATGAAACATCCGCATGACTGAAGGTGTAATGTCCTAGATCATCGCCTCCACCCTCCATCTATCTGTCTTTGAGAATATACCCAGCCTAATCAAAAAGAATTTGGCTCTCTGTTATAGTTCAATGCTGTGGCCTTTGTCCTTCCTGCTCCCAAACCTTGACACTTGTCTGAGTATCTTTTTCTCAAGCCAGGGGCCTGGCAGAGATCTACAGATCATGTAATCTGCAGAGCTGTTTGTTTATAGCTCTTAAGAGGCCCATTGTTTCTGACTCTCCATATTGTAAATTCATTTCAGGGCAACAACTTCAGAAGAGAATACATTGCTACTCAGGGTCCACTTCCTGGCACCAAAGATGACTTCTGGAAAATGGCGTGGGAACAGAACGTTCACAACATTGTCATGGTGACCCAGTGTGTCGAGAAAGGTCGAGTAAGTAAACAGTCTCCCTGGCTTCAGACTTTTGCTTCCCGTCACCTGGGTGGAATTCGATCCCACCATCAAAAGTTAAACCCTACAAAAATCAGGTAGGGATTCTTTACATTGTTAAGAAATTCAAATCATTCAGTTATAAAGGGCTTTAATTATAAATCCAGGTGGTACCTTATTCTGGTTCTGAAGTTTTAGTCAAAGGTATTTCCAAATGTGGACTGAAATTACTGGAAGTACCTATCCAGAGAAAAAGTTACTGGCCCCATTGTTGCTCTCTCCTTCAGAGTCTGGGTAGAGGAGAGACTTTACCGGAGTCACTGGGCCTACCCCCTGCTTTCAGAAAGTAGAAGTGAGTTTTAGGCTGTGTCTGTAGATACAAAGTAAAATGGTTATCTGGAAAAACTAAGCACACTTTTTGTAATGAATGCACTTACAATCTACTTCATAGGGTTGCTTGGAGGATTAAAAAAGAAATTACATGTGAAATGCCTAGTATCTTTGCTCAATAAATATTTGCCCACAGTCCTCTTTCTCCCATCTTTGTGCATGTAAACACAAGCTTACTTAAATGTTTTGACTTCTCAAAGATCTCTTGGCTCGTGGCATTTGGTCCAGGCCTGACAATTTCTCCTCTTCCCAGCTAGAGGTTTTTCTGAAAGACTGATACAATTTAAGGCATGCTTTATCTGCTAGGGTAAGTGGGATACTGAGAAAAACAACAAAAATATTCAAGCCATGTCAGACTGTGGATAAAATGGAAGGAACATAAATCCAAGGTTGGGAATGTTGCTTCTTGTGCAATGTCACCGGTTACTCTGGTCTCCCCTTCACTTGGAGCAGCAACCCGACTTCAGCACTGGCCACAAACAGGTTAATCTAAAGCAGCTGTCCAAATGGTTTTCGCAGCTGATTCAGATCCTAACTCCGGAAGACACTTCGAGGAGGTTCACAAAGTCCAGGTTCACAAAGGAGTCACCTTTCCGTTCTTACTTTTTTTTTTTTCCTGTCTGTCTTCCTCTAGGTCAAGTGTGACCATTACTGGCCAGCAGACCAGGATTCCCTCTACTATGGAGACCTCATCCTGCAGATGCTCTCAGAGTCTGTGCTGCCAGAGTGGACCATCAGAGAGTTTAAGATATGCAGTGTACGTTTGTTTGTTTGACTTCATTTAACAATCCAGCTTGAAGAGATAAAGGCGACTTGAGACTCCTAGTTTTGCTGTCCCTGGGAACAGTTGGCAAAGCTGAAGATTTGTCTTGAATCTTTAGTAATCGGCTACTCCCTATTCTTGCAGGAAGAACAGCTTGATTCACACAGACTCATCCGCCACTTTCACTATACCGTGTGGCCAGACCATGGAGTCCCTGAGACCACCCAGTCCCTTATCCAGTTTGTTAGAACCGTCAGAGATTATATCAACAGAAGCCCTGGTGCTGGGCCCACGGTGGTGCACTGCAGGTACTCAGCAACCTGGGAATCAACATGGAGAATCTGGTGGGGGAAGGATTTGGTTCAACCAGTCTATTAGCTACAAAGAAAACATATTCTCCACTCTCTCTGTGTATGTATAGTTGGGCTGCCAACCTCAAGGTCAGCAGTTCAAAACTACCAGGTGTTCTGCAAGAGAAAGATGAGGCTTTCTTCTCCTGTAAAGATTTACAGCCTCGGAAACCCTATACAGGGTCGCTATGAGTCGGAACCAATGCCACAGCACATAACAACAACATATGTATGTGTGTGTGTGTGTGTGTGTGTATACATACACACACACACATATATGTTGTTGTTAAGTGCCATTCAGTCGTTTCCAACCCATAGTGACCCTGTATAGGGCTTCTGAGGAGCAGCTGGTGAGTTTGAATATACCACAAAGTCAGTGGTTCAAACTCACCAGTGTATATATACATGTTGTTGTTCAGTGCCGTTGAGTCAGTTCCAACCCATAGCGACCCTGTATAGGGTTTCTGAGGAGCAGCTTGTGGACTTGAACTGCTGACCTTACAGTTCAAATGGCTTTGCAGTCTGGCACATTAACCCACAGGACCACACCAGGACTGCATATATACACGTTGTTGTTGTTAAGTACCATGGAGTCAGTTCTGACTCACAGTGACCCTGCACAGAGTTTCCGAGGCTGTAAATCTTCACAGGAGCAGAAAATGTCATCTTTCTCCTTCAGCACAGCTGGTTGTTTCAAACTGCTGACCTTGAGGTTAGCAGCCCAATTCGTAAGCACTGTGCTACCAGAGCTCCTTAATATATACACATACAGACACCTAAGTGTCTAGACTTGAACTTCAAGGTCAGTGCAGTTTAAGACCAACAGCTGCTACTGGAGAGAAAGATGGGGTTTTTTCTGTTCTGGCAAAGATTTACCGCCTCAGAAACCCTTTACAGAGTCACTATGAATGAAAACTGACTCAACGGTGCTTAAGAACAATGTATTGTCCAGGTTCCGACAATTCTCTTTCCAGTTTAGCCAGGAAGGTGGCTGCACAAGCTCATTTTTACTTCTCTTCTTTCTACTTGGAGTTACCTAATCTTTCTCTCTAACCCATCCCTCTTTCAAGACCTGTTATCTGTAGCACCGGATTTTGCTTTTAAATTTGTTTTCCCTACATGTTTTCTGTCCTTTCATCCCCTCTCTACTGCCAGACTATAAACTTATTGAGTTGGCCCATTGTCATTGAGTCCTCATTATCCCCAAAGTCACATAGCACAGTGGGGCTCAGCACAGAACCTCGGAATCTACTAAGTGCCTGCCTGCTTCCACCTCTGTCTTGTTGGCCACCCACTCTTAGTTTCGCTTCTCTCTGCTTCAGACAGTCACCGCTCTCTCCCTCCACACCCCGCTCAGCTTGGTGTTTAGCTAATTAATGTTTGCCACACTTTGATAGCACTAATAAATATGAAGCAGGGAATTGCTACAGTAGGAGAAATGTCAAATGCACTCATTTTCTCCCAATCAGCCCAGCTCCCTAGGATCCCTGCTTTTATATGTCATTGGAACCCTGCTGTTTTTAATAGGACTGTGAAGTCCTCAATAGCTTCATGCATTCTGAAGAATGGCAGGCATTTTCACCCAGGACCACTAGAGAACTGATATTCTTTTATCTTATAACTGTGTACATCAAAACCCCCCAGATTATGCAACCACTTTAAAGGGCAATACCTAGCAAAGTTCTGATGAGCTCTGGTAGTGTAGTGATTACGAATCAGGTTGCTAATCAGCAGGTTCTAAACTACCAGCTGTTCCACAGGAGAAAGATGAGGTTTTCTGCTCCTGTAAAGATTTACAGCCTCGGAAATCCTGTACAGAGTCATTATGAGTCAAAACTGACTCCACAGCACATTACAACAACAACAAGTAAAGTTGTGGTGTGGCACTGTAAGATAAGCACTAGACTGCTAACCTCAAGGGAGTTCTGGAGTGCTGCTGTGGAATAATGCACTGACTGCAACGTCAGTGGTTCAAATTTACTAGACGTTCATGGGAAACCCAATACACGGTCACTATGAGTCAGAATTAACTCAACAGTACTTAACAACAGCAGCAGCTAACCTCAAGGTTAGGCTGTTCAAACCCATTAGCCACTCCTTGGAAACCCTGTACAGGGTCACAATGAGTCAGAACCAACACAATGGCACTTCACAATGACAACAATGTACAATGGTGTTCCTGTCAAACACTCTTTTTAAATCGAGAAAAATTGGAAATCTCATTGCCCATCAGTAGGGAACGGATTAGCTATGGACTCTATGAAATTCTAGTAGCATAAGGCCAGCTATCCACTCCTTGGAAACATTATACAGGGTTGCTGTGAGTCAGAACCAGCAGCGTAATGCACTCTATAGAATAGTTAAATAAGACCACATATAGCACCATGCATAAATCTAAAAACAATAAGTAGAAAAGCTGGCAAAAGGATATGTAAAACTTACAACCATTTAAGTAAATTTTTTGAAACATATCAAATGGACTCATGTGTATATAGCATGAATGGAAAAGATACCAGCTGCAGAGTAATACTATCCCCGGTGGGAAGAAAGAGGGTCGGGGAGACAAAGGAAGGAAAAAGAGATGGAGGGCAGGGATTCTATCTTGAAAGGCAAAACGAATAAAAAGGCTCAATCTTGCTTCACCATCTCTTCCAGTGCTGGTGTGGGCAGGACTGGAACATTTATTGCATTGGATCGAATCCTCCAGCAACTAGACTCCAAAGACTCTGTGGACATTTATGAAGCCGTGAACGACCTAAGACTCCACAGGGTTCACATGGTCCAGACCGAGGTAAGAGTTACTAAAGGACACAGACTTTTCCTTGCCTGGAACATCCAGGGCTTTAATCTGACAAGGAGAAAGAACTGAATATAGATGTTTTATAGGATTTCTTTTGAAAGGAATCTCAGTGACCTCGAGATGATGTTTACTCTAACCTTTACTGAGCTGGTTACCCATGGGTGGTTTGGGAGAGAGATGGACTCTCCCTCTCCTCCATGAGCTTTTTTTGTGTGTGTAAGAATATATGGAGTCCTGGTGTGGCACTGTAGGCTAAGCACTGGACTGCAAACTTCAAGGTCAGTGCTTCAAACCTACCAAGCCACTCACTCCTTGAAATCCTATACAGGGTGGTTATGAGTCATAACTGACTTAACAGCACAACAAACCATTTGTCATTTCAACATTTTTACATGTACAATACAATAACATTCATTATGGTCATCGCATTGTGCAGCCATCTCCTGGTGTGGTGCTGCAGGATAATGCGCTGGACTGCAAGGTCAGCGGTTCAAACTCACGAGTAGCTATGAGTTGGAACCAGCTCGATGGCACTTAACAATATATGCATAATGAACCATTTGTCATTTCAGTATTTTCACATGTACAATACAGTGACATTCCCTATGTCACCGTGTTGTACAGCCATCTCCACTGTCTGTTGACACATTTTGGGAGTGGATTCTTTTCATCAATATAGTATGCCTGGGCAAATGACCAAGGCAGCCCATCTTGGCAATCAGTTAGTAAACAGGGCATAGATTCCAATCTCTTCTTCTTCCCTACATCCCAATTCTAAGTATGCCTCTGCCTCTAGGGACATCAAGGGAACGATTGTGTAAACTAAAAGATTCCATTTGTACAGCCTTTTGACGTTTGCGACCCTGTTTAGTGTTCCCAAGGAGCACCTGGGGGGTTCAAACTGCCAACCTATAGGATCACAGTTCCATGCTGATCCTACAGCACCACACCAGGAGTCCCTATCTATGCTTTAAAAAGGAGCTCTGGTAGCATAGTGGTTACAAATCGGGCTGCAAACCTTAAGGTCAGCAGTTCAAAACTACCAGCTGCTTCATGGGAGAAAGATGAGGCTTTCTGCTCCCGTAAAGATTTACAGTCTTGGAAACCCTGTACAGGGTCGCTATGGGTCAGAATCAACTCGACAGCACTTCACAACAACAATCTGCTTTTGGAGTCTTGGTGTGGGTTAATGCGCCAGACTGCAAAGCCATTTTAACTGCAAGGTCAGCGGTTCAAGTTCACCAGCCACTCCTTGGAAACCCTATATAGGGTCGGAACCGACTCAGCAGCACTTAACAACAACATCATCTATGTTTTTTTTATCTATGAGGGAAACGTGAATTCAATTTCTTGCCTATGCCCCTCACACACAGCCATCTGTCAGTGGAAGCTTATACATGGCTATGATGGTATATAGGTTTCAGTGGAACTTCCAGGCTATCTACTTCTGAAAATCAGTCCAATGAAAACTCTAGAACACAATGGTTTGATCTACATCTGATCATGAGGATGGTTCAGGCGCAGGAAAGGTTTTGTTCCAAGATGCCTGACGTAGCTGAGACAGGGGCAACTTGCTGACATCCAACACCAACAACAAAAGCTCAGTACACATGAAACTGTCTAGCTTGCAGTGTTCCACAAAACTGGGATGTCCTGAAGCAAAAGCTCCCTTTGAGCTTGTTGAACCTCCAAACCAACTGAACTAATAATATCTTACAGAACTGGCAATCTTGAGCATGTTAAACACTGGTCTCATGGCCTCCTTCAGGCTCTATCCACACCCAGGATCTTCACGTACTTTTTAAAGCTATCAGAGTTTCCAAAGATGGAATGCATGACAATTTTAAAGCTTAAATGTAAACTAAAGTTAAATTATTCAATTCCTCAAACATGCTAGCCACTTTTTACATGTGGCTAGTGATTACCATTTTGGACAGCTGCTGGTTTGGGGCCCAAAACAAACAACAAAAAAAGTCAGTTGCTGTCAAATCAATTTTGACTCCTGATGACCCATATTTGTTAGAACTGTCCTCCAAAAGGTTTTCAACAACTAATTTATGAGAAGTAGATCAGCCAGGCCTTTCATAGGAGGCACCCCTATGGAGGGGACTTAAACATCCAATTTTTCACTTAGCAGTCAATTGTATTAACCATTGACACTACCCAAGGACTCTCAGCTATAGGACAGGGACCAAAAAGTAATAATGATGCACAAAACTAGAGAGCGAACAGTATAATCAATTTCATGTACCCCAATTTTTTTTTAAAAAAGCAAACCTATATACTACATACATTGTTTCCCTATCCCATGACTCTATTAAACAGTTCCTAATTATCTCTTAAAAGGAGCTCTGGTAAGTGTAGTGGAGTGGTTACAAATTATTATTAATAGTGTCTAATGTCACTGGTATTTTAAATACCAGCAGGGTCACTCAAGGTACACAGGTTTCAGTAGAGCTTCTAGACTAAGACAGACTCAGAAGAAGGAGACCACTTCTGAATTTTATCCACTGAAAACCAAGCAGAAAATTGTCAGATATAGGGCCAGAAGGTGAGCCCCTCAAGTTGGAAGGCACTCAAAATACTGTTGGAAAGAGCTGCCTCCTCCAAGTAGAATTGACCATGTGACATGAATAGAGCAAAACTTTCAGGACCTTCAGTTGCCGATGGTCACAACTAAAAATGAAGAGAAATAGCTGCTAACATCCATTAATTTGTCAGAACATGAAAAAAATGTACAAAGTTTGAATCGAGGAAAGTTGGAAGTTGTCCAAATGAAATGGAAAACATAAAGATCAATATTCTAGGCAATAGGGAGCTGAAATGGACTGGTATTGGCTATTTTTTGAGTTAAAGATAATCATATGGTTTACTATATCCCTGGAGAGACATATTCAAGAAGAATGGCATCACATTCATCCTCAAACAGAACTATTCAAGATCTATGTTAAAGTGCAATGCTTTCTGTGATAGGACAATATCCATACATCTACTAGGAAGACCACTATTATTAAAATTTACACACAAACCACTAGAGCCAGTGATGATGATATTGAAAAATTCTATAGAATTCTTCAATGTGAAATTAATCAAGCAATGCAATTAACAAGATACATTGATAATTACTGGTGATTGGAATGCAAATGTTGGAAACAAAGAGGAAAATCAGCCAAAACAAGGCCAGGTGCAGACTGTGGAACAGATTATCAGTTGTTCATAGGCAAGTTCAGGCTGGAGCTGAACAAAGTTAAAACCACCCATGACAGTCAAACTAAGCTTGAGTATTTCCGACCTGAATTTAAGGTCCATCTCAAGAACAAATTTATGCACTAGACACTAATGACCAAAGACTAGAGGAGACATCAAGGACATCATACAGGAAGTAAACAATCACTAAAAACAAAAGAATCAAACAAAAAAGACCAAAATGGATTGTCAGAAAAGAGTGAAACTTGCTCTTGAGTGTAGAGAAACTAAAAGAAACTAAAGATCTGAGCAGAAAATTTCCAAGGGCATCTCAAGAAGACAAAATAAAGTATTATAATGAAATGTGCAAACACCTAAATTAGAAAACTAAAAGGGAAGAACATGCTCAGCATTTCTCAAGCTGAAAAAACTGGAGAAAAATGTAAGCCTCAAATTTACAATACTGATGATTTCTATGGGCACAATATTGAATAAGGTAGAAAATATCCAAAGAAAATGGATAGAATACACAGTCACTATACCAAAAAGAAATGATCCGTGTTCAACCATCTCAAGAGGTAGCATATGATCAAGAGCCAATGGTACTAAAGGAAGAAGTCCAAGCTGCACTGAAGGTATTGGCAAAAAAAACAACAACCCAAAAGGAACAAGACTCCAGGAAGTGATGGGATACAAATTGAAACATTTCAACAAACTGATGAAGCACTGAAAACAATCACTCATGGATGCCAAGAAATTTGGAAGACAATTACCTGATCAACTGATTGAACACAACTGATGTGTGTCCATTCCAAAGAGAGTTGACCCAAAGGAATGCAGAAATTATCAAACAATATCATTTAAGTCACATGCATGTGAAATTTTGCTTAATATAATTTAAAATGACTGCAACAGTACATCAACAGAGAACTCCCAGAAACTCAAGCTATATTCAGAAGAGGATGTGGAACTAGAGACATCATTGCTGACATCAGATGGATCTTAACAGAAAGTAGAGAATACCAGAAAAATGTTTATATATTGACTATGCTTTCAAGTGAATGGATCATGACAAGCTATGGATAACATTGCAAAGAATAAGTATTCCACAACACTTAACTGTGCTCATGAGGAACCTATTCATGGACCACAAAGCAGTCATACCAACAGAACAAGAGGACACTGAGTGTTAAAATATCAAGAAAGGTTTGTATCAAGGTTGTATTCTTTCACCATACTTATTACATCTGCATGCTGAGCAAATAATCTAAGAACATAGCATCAGGATTAGAGGAACACTCATTACCAACCTGCAATATACAGATGATACAACCCTTGCTTGCTGGAAGCCAAGAAGACTTAAAATACTTACTGATAAAGATCCATGTTAAAAATCTAATACAACAATCTTCAGTATGAATTATACCTTAATATACAGAAAACAAAAATCTTCACAACTAGACCAATTAATATCAAGATAAATGGAAAAAAGACTGAAGTTGTCCAAGACTTCCGTTTGTTTGGATCCACCATCAATACTCATGGGAGCAGCAGTCAAGAAATCAAACAACATTTTGCATTAGACAAATCTGCTACACAAGACTTCTTTTCAAGCGTTCAAGAGCAAGCATGTCAGTTTGAGAACTAAGGTGTGCCTGACCCAAGGCACTGGTATTTTCAATTGCCTCACATGCATGTAGAAGTTGGACAAGGAATAAGGAAGACGGTGGAAGAATTGATTCATTTGAGTTGTGGTGGTGGTTGTGTGCCGTGGAGTTGGTTCTGACTGATAGCGATCCTGTATA